CGTACGTACGTAGTACGTTACGTTACGTAGTACGTCGTACGTAGTAGTAGTAGTAGTATACTATAGTGTAGTAGTAGAGAGAGTACGACGACGACGGAGGAGTGTGTGTGTGTGTGTGTGTGAGAGAGAGAGAGAGAGAGAGAGAGAGAGAGAGAGTCCCTTCATAAATGTTGTGCTGAAAAGAGAGAATGAATACCTGTGGAATGATAAACTTCCCGGTGAGGAGACAGACAGCCGGCAAGGTACAATACATGAGCAAAGGAATGGAGGTGATAGGGTAGATGGTGGTGCTGACGTATGCAAACCTCTCAAGCCATTTCAGCCTCCCACTATAGCCATACCATATAGGGCAATGGCGACTGAGAAAGATTTCAACTGAACCCAAAGCCCAACGCAACACCTGATTTAGACGATCTGAAAGGTTAATGGGGGCCGAACCCTTGAAGGCAGGGGGATGAGGCATACAATAGATTGACCTCCATCCACGAGCATGCATTTTAAATCCTGTAAGGATATCTTCTGTAACTGAGCCATAAATCCATCCAATCTGCAAAAACCAGCAGTTTGGTTATTCTATAGCAACAGCATACATGCCATTCGATTAAGTGAATAATTGAGTAGCAATTTGGTGATCAATTCAATTGATAGATACAGTGAAAATCATTCTCAAAACTATATCCAAACAGCACCCATATGAAAATAACAATAAAAAACAATTAACTAGCTTGACATTGAAGCAGAAATCAAGTAAGATCTATCCATTCCTCTCATGCTATACTGTCGAGGAAATTTTTTCTTTCTTTTTTTTTTGAACTGGTTAACTTTGTCAAGGAAATTTACGGATGATTTATATAAGGAAAAAGTTTATATAGAGCCGGGGCTCTAAACAATCAAATTAGAGCCCACCACAAAAATTTGACTAGAAGTTGTTTTGATGCACAAATATCCTCAAATTAATCATCTCGACCTCAAGATGCATGGACATGAGAAAAAAACGGATTTAAAGTTTTGGAAATAGTGCATCTTGTAACGCAATTTTGGACCGTCAATTTTCAAGATTTTCAAGTTTTCAGAGATCTGCTGGATCTACACTATTTTTTAAGCTTGAAATTTTATAATTCATCATCATCATTTTAGCCTATTCCCAAGTAATTGGGGTCGGCTATATGAATCTTGATTCTCCATTCTGCCCTATTAAGGGTCATATCCTTACTGAGGTCATAAATCCCCATATCTTTACGGACTACTTCCAACCACATCCTTTTGGGCCTATCCCTCTTTTCAGTCCTTCCACTTGATCTAACTCGCACGTCCTAACAAGTATTGTACTTCGTCAGCCCCACACATGGCCAGCCCACAGTGCCAGCTTTAAATTTTATAATTAAAGATGAAAATATATTTTAAGGCTATCACAAAGATTTCCAGTATTGAAACCATATTTCTCGACATTATTTGAAGCTGCGATTTACTTTGATTGTTTAGAGCCTCGGCTCTATACATACCGCCCCCTTTATATAAAGCATAGATATTTGCACAGAGGTACAACTTAAAAGTATGAAAAATGAAATGGTTGGCATATGCCAATCAACTGCAGAAAACATTTTCAATATATTCTTGATATACAAAAGGGATATAGTTAGTTAATCTCAAGTGGGCTTGGGCAAGTAAATGGATGAGTGACTTTATTTCTGTAGTAAAAATGAGACAATTATCCATATGTGCCAAAATTTACATAAACCAGAAACCAAAAGAAACAGAGATGGGGTTCACCTCACTTCCCCAATCTGTCTTGTCCTCGTATCCGCAGCTGATAACATGGATGGCCTCTTTGAGGAGTGACTCAGGGGTTGCAGACTGAGGGACACCACCATGTTCCATAAGGGTGGATGCAACAAAAACAGTTGATTGGCCAAATCTTTTCTCCAAGCTCATTTGAGACATAAGGAGTGATTTCTCATCATCAAATCCAGCACCTGTTATTCATCAAACAAATGAGGAAGAAAATATCTGAAAGGAAAGTCTATCTTCTCCTTCCCTCCCTCCCTCTCTCTCTCTCTCTCTCTCTCTCTCTCTCTCTCTCTCTCTCTCACACACACACACACACACATACACACGTCAGAGCTAGTGTGTGTGTGCACACACACTAGACACAAATACACATATGTGCGTACACCCTATGCATACATGTATATATGCATTATGCACATCTGTATGGACATATTTCTACGTACGTTCTATGCCTGGATGTGTCAGTCGCTGTACACACAGGGCAACAGGGAAGCCAACTTGAAAATATGTTTTATCAGCAAGAGCTAGTGCTTTGATCCTAAAATTTGACTGCATGTGAAACTAGGGATTGAAAATTGGAATGATTTGGGAAAACCATACATGTACACACATCTTCACAAAAAAAGTATCTCTTATGTATACTCAAGTTCTTCCTCAGCTTTATTATGTAACTCTGTTCAACATTTGTGCATTAGCATCCATGTTTTCCACAATATGTACTACCAATTACTACTACCCATATCTAAAGATGAAATGCATTTCAGGAACCTTACCTTCAACCCCCTCCTCTATGTCTTCAAGACTAAATATTGGAACAGTGGTGTCCACCTGCTTGTTCGATTTCTTCTTGTCAGAGTGCTTTTTACTTGATTTGGAACCCTTCGTACGCGATCCACCACAGCATCTCGATAGAAGGTTTGGTTTGCTGTGTTTGTTCTTAAGAGGAGGCTCATAACCATATAAAGCAGTTCTGTTGAAAACACATCCGGTACCCACATAAACAGGTCCTTGGATACCATCCAAACCTCTCAAGTTGATCTAATGATAGAAACAGAAATACAGTGAAATCTGAAGATTGGCAAAGAATGGAATACAAATGCGTCTATAGCTTTCAACAAAGAGCAACAAAATAACTGAAAGAGCTGGAACTCACGTCAAAGAACACAGTATTTCGGTTAGCATATCGATCGTTCAAATCAATACCATCAAATCTTTGAGGGAACTGGACATAACAAACTGATCTTCCAAGATTTGGATCCATCAGGAAACACATAGCCTCACGCAATGCCTTGCTGTTATTTATGTAGTGATCACAATCAAGATTGAGCAAGTAGGAACCATTGGTAAGAACTGCCGATACGCGGACCTGCATTAATACAAGAACATATCAATTGCTACAGAGAAGCACAACATAATAACAGAGGAACTGAGGAAGTCATTTAGATAAACACATACTAGTGCATTCATGGCACCAGCCTTCTTGTGATGCTGGAAACCTGGCCTCTTCTCACGAGACACATAAACTAACCGAGGAAGCTCATTGCCATCACTGTCGAGACCTCCACTATGGCCCAAAAAGACCTACAAGAAATAAGGCAGTAGAACAGATCACAAGCAGAAACCCGCTATCCATATTGTATAATAATGAACTCAATTTGCAGACATGCAACATTTCACAGCCAAAATCATCAGTCATCTACTTCCCGGGAGTCTAAAGATTATAGAGAGAACCAAAAAGAGAAGTCCAGAGTAGGGTTTGGCCTCTTGGTTCAGTTATTTGGGGTTAAGGGCGACACCAAAGCATCTGAGGCTCAAATCCCAGCAATCCCACCCAATACAAGAGAGAGAGAGAGAGAGAGAGAGAGAAAGAAACAAGTTTGATGATAAGATTGAACAAAGCAATCAAATTAAGGCCAAAGCACTATAATAAATACAAGGCAACCCATCGCAACTTTCAAGATCTACGTTGAACCTCATCAAAAACCACAATTGCCCATAAATATGACATATTATGTGCATGTGTAATCATTAATTTCGAAAACCCTGAAGATCTAAAATGTAATGAAAGCCATAAAACAGATAAAAAAGAATTTACTTTAATGAAAGAAACGCGACAGTCATAATAGTCAAGATGCCATAATCAGTACACAACATCGCCAAATCTGAATCCTGAAAACATGGACATAGCCAAAATCAAATGAATGAAACCTGAATCATTCCAGGATGGTCTCTGGTATTGTTCCCTGGCCAAGGAGTACCATCTTGCATAATCCAACCCTCCTCAGGAACCTTTTGTGCCTTTGCAACAAGCATATTAATGCGTACTTTGAACTCTTCATATTCCCTCTACAAAAAGAAGTTAAAAATCCATCAACAAAAACAGTTAACAGAAACAAAACTTCATGTATAATGTTAAATTTTTGCATCCCTACCTTCATGGCTCTTCGGTCTTTAACAAATGAAGGATGAACTTTATCTTTCAAATAGTCAATCTTCTGAGCAAAATACCATTCAGGGGCTCGAGGCTCAATGCTGTACTTCTTGCAAAAAGGAACCCATTTTCTTGCAAATTCTGATGTCTCAGATAGGGCCTCGAATGTCAACATAGCAGCACCATCATCAGAGACATAGCAAGATACCTTGTCGACCGGATAGTCCACTGCTAGAATCGATAACACTGTATTTGCTGTTACGAGAGGAGGTTCTTTTAAGGGATCGACTGTACTAACAAATATATCAACAGCAGCCAACTGAGATGGCTCTCCTTCTCTGTCATATCTGTTGAGGGAAACCCATAAATTCCAAATCATAAATACACAAAATGGCAAAAATTGGGGTAGTACAAGTAAACATCAAAGTAAAAAGGAAATGAAACAAACAAATGAAGATAATCTGACCTCAGTGCTAGCCTATCAAGGTAAGTCTCGCGGTTTACAGGGAACCATTTTGGGAATTGATCCAATATCCAAGAGATGGCGAACCATATCTCACATATGACAGAAATCAACCAGAGGGCATATGCATTTCTCACAGGATTCGTGATACGATAATGTAAGAAAATGCTGAGGATAACAAGCCGAAGAACAATGACCATCCTATAAGGGTTAATCCTTGAAGAGGAAATTGAGACCTTGCGAGAAAGTGGCTGACGGGCTTCATCATTCCTGTATCATATAAGAAACATACCAAAAAAATTTAGTCCTGCATGGTACATTACCCGTCTGGCATAGCTTAAGTAACTTGGCACCTAGAGAAACTGAAGAACGGAGCCCTTCATATGGCTGCAACACCTGGTGTTATGAAACAATTAAGGAAACTTAAAGAATGATATCTTCTGGTGAACTATCATGATATCTTAAGGTCAACTGTTATTATTTCTTTGTAGCTTCTAGAACTTTCTTAAACATGAGTTAGAGAGCCAATATTACAATTTTCAGAACGAACTCCAGGACTAAATAATTCTATTTTATTTAAAATTAAACCTAAGGCTCACACAGGCACTGAAAAGGAAATGATTTTACCATTTTATGATTAACTAATTTTTAAAAGGGGACCTCTCAAGAATTTTTTCATGGAAAAGAGCTTTTCAGAACCATTCACAATGTAGAGCTCATGTCATCATTATTTCCATTTGGTGTACACTAAAGCCCTAAAAGCCCCACTTAGATGGGTCGCAACAACAGAATCTCTGCTTTTGGAATTTGTTGTAAGTAGATCAAACAAAATTAGTTTTCTTGATCAAAAAGAAATTTGAGAAAATATGTGATATTTTTTTGAGAAAAGTTAACCGCACTATCGCACGAAATAATTCTCCAAGAGCTCTGCGAGGACCCTATCTCTGCATAAATTAAATTTGAAACCAAAATACTTGTGGATTCGATAGGATTGTTTTAAAAAATTCAACAATTCTCACAGACCCACATTTCACATCAGTCAAATATGCCCTTAATATTTTCAGTAAAGATAAATTGAAATGGAGCAATCTGAGTGCTCAACACTAAATCCTATTTGATCCACATTCCATAAGGTAATTAAGGCAGAGATACTGACTTTCTCAAAAAAAAAAAAAAAATTAAGGCAAAGAGACTGCCGGGGTCTATTTCTAGGAACCTTGAGCCATACCCCAAACCTCACAGACCATCAAATAACCTCAGGTTATATCATCCCCAAGGGCATTAAAGAACACAAATAGTAAGTATCCTTCAAACTTGAATTAACTATAATGTTTATAAATGGAATCAATAAGATATTGATACAGTTCCACTAACATCATCAATTCCAACACAAATCTGATAAAAACACGACTCCAGTATGTCTCACGGTAAAGTAATCATTCAACATCAATAGTTGCAGGACATTGCTGCTCAAGACCTAGTTCACCCATCAACCCCATCATTACATCGGAGAGAACAGAGAGACTACTAGCCCACCTAAGCTGCCTAAAAATAGCTTCTACAGGGCCATTGCCTCCATGGTGATGGTGAGCCAACCATGGGTTTTCCACATCACCAACACAAACTGGTTACCATATAACCAAGCCCATGCACCAAATTAGCAAGGGTATATTTTCTTCCATGTTTTTTTTGTAAGCAAGAGGAAGTTACCTTACAGGTAAACTTCCCATGGAAAACAGAGGCATGTTGACCATCACCCAACTTCATGTGTGTGTTCCAAATTTCCCTCTAAAAGGAAAATTCTTCTCCGTGAGAGGATCGTTTAGACCGAGTGCAACCCTATCTAGATCCAAGAGTTTATGTAAGTAGCACTCTGTGACCTCAGGCTGATCTTCTTTGGGAGATAAAACAAACCCATGAGATACACCAGATGAGCCATTGAAATTAAAGAGAAAACGATAAGTGGGTGTCCCCTAACACCACCAACCACCCACACCCCCACCCCCACCTAAGATGGAAAAGAAAAGAAGTACACACACACACAAAACATCCATATTATTCATCAAGCACAGATGCAGAGGCCAAATGTTACTTGATGACATTCCAACTCCATATTCTATTCAATATGTTTGCTAAGGAGCATTCTTGCTTTCAAGAAGGAACTTATGAAACTCCCAAGCCAAAAAATTGTTTGACCACCAATACATAAATATCAGTTAAAAAACTTTTAGTAGGACATAAAATGCATTTTCTGATAGCCTTGCGTTATTTACAAGTAGCTAGGCTATGCTAGATAAATCTAAAAGTCTTTTGGAGCATTGCTCAAATCGCTAATCATTGGCAACAAAAAATACGCACACAAATTAATGAAGCTATGTGTGCATGTCGATGATTTGAATTTGACCTAAAATTCCTAACAGTATATATGCACATGGGTGGACAATGATGATCATCACATCAAGCAGTGATGATATATACACATCTTGATAAAAACATCGAATCACCAGAGTAGCAAGAAATAATGACTAAAGGGGCATTCATTAAGGACAGTTAAAAAAACTCACAATAAAGGATCCTCCATATTCACATCAGTTGCAGCATCAATATCTCCTCCTCCTTTCCCTTCAGAAGCAGCATGCCCACCATTAGGCATCTGTACCACATTCTTTTCCTGCTTCATCTTCCAACTATCAACTCTTTCCTTCCAAGCAACATTGCCAAACCCTTGGGAACCAAATTCTCTTACAGGATCCACAACCCTAATATTTGCTGCAAATCAATTTTCCATGACATTTTAGTTTGACCCACAGCCGCATGAAAGGACAGAGCAAACCCAGAATGAATAATACAAACAAAATTAGAAAGAAGACAGAAAGGCTGAACCTTACCAGGTTGGTGGAGATCTGAATAAGGCAGTGGATGCACACGCTTCCCTCCACCACCACCACTGGCAGGAGATGCCATTGTGGGATGATCTGGCGAAGCTGCTGGAATCTCTCCAGAGACCTGAAAAACTCCAAAATTTCATTCTAATCCTATATTTTGATGGGTTTTCATTACAGAGCAAGACCAATATCAAGTAAATGCAGCTAACAGAACAAAGATCAACATGGTTAAAGAATGCATCTCACCAGTTGTCCATTAGTAAGTAAAGGGATATGATTAAGGGGGGTTTCATTTGTATCATAGGCCGGAGGCGCAACATCCTCCCCTCTTCCATAGCTCATTTGCCAATGCAGCATAGCCTCTGCAATCTTCTGCTTCTGATTCTGATTACCAGATGGATAATTGTAATCACTTGCAACATCACCAACATCATCATCATCCCCTTCATCACCAGGAATGCGAGGACTTCCTGTGAGAGTATGCACATAGCCCAATATTTTTCAGAAAGACGAGATATACAATGTTTCAAAATAGTCCATGATCAAATTGAGCCACAATTTCTATGGCAGAGCCCATAGAAAAATTCTAAAGAAATAAAATCAGTAAAAATACAAATTGTGCAGAACTAAGAGAAATGAAAATGCGGATATCTGTAAACCTTTGTGCCTCTTGTATCGGGTCTTGCATTGGGGACAAGACTGATTGCCATCCTTTCTCTCATATTCGTAGCAAGGCCTGCAAACTGGGAAGGAGCAGACATCACAGGCAACAAAAAGCTCTCCTTCAGCTGTCACACCGACATCATCACCACATATCTGGCAGACCTGTCCGCTTATATGTTTCGAGGGTTTCATCTGAAACCATGGAAATCAACAATTACCATGTTGAGCAAAAAACCCTACTGATTCAAATCCAAAAATAGAAAACATAAACAGTTAAAACTTGATTTCTTTTTCCTCATTCAATACATTAAATTGCATAGGATGATCTGTACCACTGGATCCTAATAATAATGTAGTAACCACAATCTAATAGCTGAAGTGTGGTATATGACTCGACACATTGGATAAGAAAGTGATATCAAATAGTAGATCAGGGTGCAAGCATGTTTGATTGCAGATTCAGCCTACAAAATGGGAGTCTAACAAAGTTCAACCATGTACATTGACTTACAAATCCTAAAAAGGCGGATTCATACCCCTCTTTACATGAGAAACCTAAAAAGGAAAATGAGGCAGAAGCATCAACCAGAAACATAGCAAGAAAATTTGAGTCCAAACTTTGAAATCAAATTAAGGAAAATGATAAAAATACTCACAGTTGGATCTCCTTCTCGACCCGCCTCCATTTGTAAGCTTCGAAGAAAGCTTCTGGCCAAATGACCACTTGATGATTGGGTTCAAGAGATCCCTTTGCTACAATCCTGAAAATTTACACAGATCTCGCATCTAACTAAATGGACAGACCTTCACACCAGACTTTGTCCTTTTGCCCTTTCTCTTTTCAATGTCTCCCTTAGAAAAACCTCACATTACCTTGAATTCTCCATTTCTAGCCAGATCTAACACAAATCACCACGGTCAAGTCGAAAAACCAGCCACTTGCCCTGTAAAGCCTTGATCTTTGAATTGAGTTCCAGAATCACAACAAAACGCCTCAAAAACCACCCGCTTGGCTCAATAAAAGAAAACGGAGCAAATTTGCAGAGTCCCTTGCTCAACCAATTCGCCCTAATTCACGCAAAATACACACTCAAAATCCAGACTATTCAATTTCTCAATGAATTTGCCTCAACCTAAACCAGAGAAAAGGACACCTAAGCTGCATGGCAGGCTCAAGCTGTCCGAGCTGTGACAGCTTCAGGTAAGCGAGGCCTACCTTTCCCCGCTCCTATAAAAATGCCCTAAATCCGAAAGAGACACATTACCCACTTTTCTAATATACACATCTGATAATTGATACAAAAAAGAAATGGCAAAAGATAAGAGACCAGCTTACTCACTATTCCATGATATAATCTTCCTTACAGAGCTCAAGCCTCTGTAAAATTTCCATAAAAAGTAACTACAGGGGACTGAAAATTACGAGACGAGATACAAATTCCAAGCCCCAGTTATTAAAGGTGATAAAAGAGAGAAAAAGGTGACATTATTCGGGAATCTAGGGTTTAATAACTCGTAAAAGGAGACCTAAAATCACCATTAATCCAGATTTTAAAGAAATGCAACAATCAATTAACAAAGAAGATGCCAGGACATTCGACTACTCAATAGTCAAACATCAAGTGCACCGATTTCTTCACCAAATCGAAAGCGAAAAGTAAAAACATTAAAATTGACCGCTGGATTTCACCGCGCCAAGATTTACCATGGCCTTAATAGACGGCTACGGTCTCATTCACCAGCTAGGGTTCAATTCACCGGAGACAAAACCCGTGTAAGCCCGGTGAAATACATGAGTGAATCACAATGTGCGCGATTTAAGGGAGCTCTGCTCATAGATTTTGACAGACATGCTATGAGTTTTTTAACCCCGATCTGATTTTTTAATTTTTCTTTCGGACAGTGAAAAATCAGCCGTTTAATTTTTCTTTCGGACAGTGAAAAATCAGCCGCTCACCTGTGGCGCGTGAGGGCTTTTATGAAAAGAAGAAGTTTACATAAGGCCGAGGCTTCTAAATTAGAGCCCACCTCAAAAAGCTCACTAGAAGAGGTTGTTTTGATGCCTAGAATTCTTCAAATTGACCATCTTGACATCGAAATGTATGGACATAAAAAAAAAAAATGGATTTCAAGTTTTAGAAATAGTGCATCTTGTAACGTATTTTTGGACCGTCAATTTTCATGATTTTTAAGTTTTCATAGATCTATTCGAATCACACTATTTTTTAAGCTTTAAAATTTATAATTAAAGATGAAAATATATTGTAAGACTATCATAAATATTTTCAGTATTGAAACTACATTTCTTGATACTATTTGAATGTGTGCTTTTTTAGAGCCTTGGCTTTATACAAACTGCACCTCGAATGAAAACAGTAGCCAACGGCCCAGGCCTCATCCGAGCTAGTCATGTCAACTCTGACTCTAGTCCTATAGCCCACCTAAGGTTTGCTTGGGCCTAGCCCTGATGGGCCAAAGAGACCCCAACCAAGTAGTTTACTTCTATTCCCTCGTTCAAAAGGCCAACTTGAAAGGTTTTTTTCAATTTGAAATTTTAGAAACTACTTAAGAATAACTAGATGATTATTCTTAAAAAGATTGAAATTTGGGCTTCATAATACTCTGATCTCACCATCAAAAAATTAGATAGTTTGTATTCAATCTCGAGACATTATTTCTTTTAAGTGTATAGAAGGTGCAATAAAGATTTTTTTTTTTATTGAGAATAATCCATAGGTTGAAATGGTTACCTCCTTAAACTTTAGGATACTAAAATTAACTCGATGTGGGGTTTTATCCAAGGGAATAAATAGACATTCTACATCGGATAGAGTAAAATGTCTATTGGCATAATATTTTTACTAATCTAAATAATACAAAAAGAGAAAATAAAATAATGGGCATAAAATCTGATATTTTCCTCAGTCACAATGAACCGAGAAGGTAAACGGAAGGTGGGGGATATATTAAATGAATTATATAAGGGATGATGATTCTATAAGGCCTAGATTTTATGAAAATAAAATAAAACCTCACTTCAAATTTTAGTTCAGAAAACACTTTCGATAACGAAAATTTTCATGATGGATCTAACATCTATTTTCATTATTGATAATGAAATTCAAAATTCAAAAAATGGTGCAGATCTTGTGGATCTACAAACATTTATTTTAGGGTAAAATGAACGATATAGATAATTTGTTACAATTTACACTATTTTTAGATCTTGAATTTTTTTTTTTTTTTACAATCATAATATTCAAACCAAGATAATTGATGTAAACGTTTTCTAACGGATGAATTGTAATTTTCGTTGACTTATGAGATGAGGCTTTTCTTATTTTGGTAGGGCTGCAGCCCTATCAAACCATTTTCCGCATTCAAGAATCCACGTCAGCTTTTAGTGACGGCATCGTCGGGAAGAATAGGAAAGAGAGGCCTCACTGTCGGTGACCGACAGCACGATCTGCAAATCGGGTTTCTACACCAAATCGGACGGCTAATATCGTCTAATTAGGTTAACGTTCGATTATTAGAGAAGTAGAAGATGCTGCGTTAATGACTATAATACCCTTAGTTTGAGGATGTTTAATATTTTCAACTATTTGAGATGGGCAGTACGAATTTTGATCCGTAATATTATAATATTAAATCATACCTTAAAAATTAAATTTTGGAATGGATTTTACTAGATGGACTTTTTAATTTGTAATATATCACTAGGTTGTAGTTCCAGCTCTTATTACTTTTTATCGTTTTTTCAGAGCTAAATTTTTGAAGAACAAAAAAATAGCTTACATTTTTTTAAATTTTATAAATAATCAATAACGTGAGAAATGGATTGAAAAATCAATCATGTAATGTTCCAATTTGAACAAAATTTAGAACTTAGTCATTTGAATATCTAAATATGATCGGGATTTTAAAGAACCTGCTAAACAATAATTATACTATTGTAATATTTTAACTTCAGGTAAAGTCCTGATAAATATCCATAAATATTCTAATATGTTATACACAAAGTGTGGGTGTATTAGGGTATTGAATATATTCATTTTTTATTGATGCATTTGAAAACCATTAACTATTTTAAAAAATGGGTATGGGCTTGTATTTTCTACTGATTTACCTAAAAAAAAAAATCTTTATATATGTATTGCTCAATATAATTAAATAATATAAATTATTTCTCAAAATCCCCTATATGATTTACACATGCAATTACATTGTTCAACTACATTGGATGATGCATTTGTAAGACTTCTACAAGCAATAATTAAATGGGTGTGGCTTGTATAAGGTTGCAACCTAAAAGATTCCAATTAAAGCACATATCTAAATTTGATCCTAACGTGCAATTTTGGTGTCAAAGCTTATTGGGATGACATAAGAATCTATTTTTATATCTAATTATAAAATTTTAAATTCCAAAATTTGTTCAAATCAAGTAGATCTATAAATACATGAAAATAGACGGTCCAAATAATATATTGTAAGATGTACTATTTTTGGAATTGAATTTTTTTTTCTTTTTATATTTCACACATCTCCATATTGGGATGATCCATCAGAAAGCTTTCCGACATTAAAACAATATTTTTCGATGGATTTTTGAAGTGCAATCTAATTCTACATTCTAAAGCTACAACCTTATATAAACTGTCCAAAATTAAATTATTAGGACTCCAATAAAATGCAAGCTGGGTGCCAAGCTACACGACAGTCATTTGCTGAATACATAAGGGTGTTATTTGAGAGTTAGGAAAGGAAGGGTGCTAGTGCAATTTATAGGAAGAAATTGGGACAATACAGTCCACTTGTACAGCTGGAAGGTGTCGGTGGTTCAATTTTGCTTTTCTTTGCATATTTTAATTATTTGGTTGGTTTATATTAATATTTGAATATTAATAGGTTCAAAAGGAAGAGAGGAAAAGATGAGTGGGTGGTTGCTTGCGGATGGGATATCCCCATCATGTGCTATTTTTCTTCTCTCCACAATCGAATATGGCCCAGAATAATCACTTTCTCTCTCTAACATGGATTCTCTTTCTCCCTCTAGATTTATTGTCTCCAATAAAGAGGAGAAAATAAAACACAATAGCTTTATTTGTCTCAAAATATTTTAGGAACCTACCTTCAGTTAGGAAGGAGAAAAGGACTACGACTAGTAAACCCTTTCTTCTAATATCATGAAATAATATTAGATTGAACGGCTTGGGTTGTGTCGAATTTTTTTTTTAAGTTTGAGTCCAGTTGTTGCTACCCGATTTGAAAAATATAGATGAGAGTGTAGTTTGAGAATTTTTTTTTGGAATTTGAGTCTAATCAATGACACTCATAACTATCCGATTTGAAATCTGAGTCACAAAAGTTATATACCATTGCTACTAAAAATCAGTAATCCGTTTATATACCATTACTATTGCTTTTTAATACTTGTGTCTCATAATTCAATACTAGCACAAGTGAGGAAACAATGCTCCACTGCTATATAGATAGAAAGGAGGGGGGAGTCGTTAGAGAGAGCGGCACCAAGATTTTTTCCATTCATATCCCGATTGCAGCTGGCCATCGCCTCTATTATTCCTCTCAACCAAAAGGGAAACAAAATCCAATTTTTATATCTGGATGCAGTGTATCCTCACTCTGAAACGATCATCTCGACATCAATCAAATTAGAGGCCATCTTAAAATCTTTTCATTAGAAGAGGTTGTTTTGATATCCAAATATCTTCAAATTGATCATCTCGACATCGATGCATGAGCATGAGAAAAAAATGGATTTTAAGTTTTGAAAATAGTGCTTCTTGTAACGCATTTTTGGATTGCTAATTTTCAAGATTTTTAAGTTTTCATAGATCTGCTCGATCTACACTATTTCTTAAGCTTTAAATTTCATAATTAAGTATGAAAATATATTTAAAGGCTATCACAAAGATTTCAAATATTGAAACCATATTTCTCGACACCATTTGAAAGTGCGCTTTACTTTGATTGTTTAGAGCCTCAGCTCTATACAAATTGCACCTATCTAGATAATACATTACAAAATGAATCTTAAAAACTATAAATCTTTGTTTTTTCTCACATCCATAGTAGTCGAGGTCAAGATAATTAATTTGAGAGTTTTTCGAAACCGAAGCTGCAAATTTCAATAAAATTTGAAATGGGGCTTACCTAAACCTTATTTTAGCCTTTTTCTTTTTTATTTTTCTCACATGTTAGACAAAAGTGCTGGTGTATGTGACTGAATTTAGTGATCATTTAGAAACATGGATCTTCTAAGTCCTAATATCATATTTGATAATTGTCTGAATAAAGTCGACTTATGGTGAAGCCATTTAATTTATAGTTCTATAATTTCTTAGAACCATGATGACTATGATAGAGATCATTGGTGGATGCGACGGTGGACGGATACATGTGTTATGTGTTTTAAGAAAGGAAAATAGTTTGATAGGGATGGAGCCGTCCATTTCACCATAAAATTAAATGTTTATAGATTATAGATCCATAAGAGCTGTGCCATTTTTTAGTTTCAAATTTTATTATCAGC